GAGAAGGAGTGGGAAGGAAAAGCTGTGCCTTGCACAACTGAACCCCCAAACTCAAAATATACATAGACAGACAAGTGTCTTCCAGGTCCTCAACCTGCAGCCCGTCCCTCAAAGTGCATCAGTGAAAAACGACCAAGAAAGCACAAACCTCTCTTCGATTTAACTTCCTCACGCTTGCACCTCGGTTGTGGCATTTTGGGCGGCTGCCAACCGAAAAGCAGCTGAACGTCACCCCCGCCGAAAGGGCCCACTGGCTTTTGCATGTCTTCAGGTGCTTATGTCCCAGGAAAAGATGTTGTCTTAAAAAAAATATCACTGTATTCCCAGAGGGAAAGGCCCTTGGCCGTGAGGCGTCCCCCCACAGCTGCCCCAGCTGGCAGTTTAACGGACAGACCCCTGGGGACCTCCTGGTTGCCAGGTGGCAACAGCACGAGGGCGGTCACAGACACACAGGAGGGAACCAACCTCAACTCTCCGCTCCCTGCCCCCCTGGCTTCCTCGGCTCTCGCCGTAGCCCTCACGACCCCGCAAAGCACGTCACACTGGGTAAAGACGCTTTGGAACTACTTTCAGTTAAACGGCATTTCTGCTCAGCAGGGGAGAGGCCCTGAAAAAGAGGAAGAGGATGAGGAAGGGCGCGTGGAGAGTCTGTGGTGAACAGTAGAAGTGTTCTGCTGATACCAGTGAATTGAGAGGCAAGATGGCACGTCTAAGCGAAAACACAACCACACTTGCACATGCACACGGAAATTCATAACCACCCTCATTTCCGTTTCCCAGTTATTTAACCCTGACAGGCAATCTTAAAGAAGCAGCTTTTCCACACCTACCTCCTAGCAGACAAACTCATCCAGTTTGACAGGTCACTGTAACCCATTTGATTTCATACTCAAGTTACAAAGACTTCTGAGGAAAAGAAAAAAAAAAAAAAGGCCTGCAGAATCTACAATATCTTTGCAACATCAAGTGAATACCAATGCAAAAGCAACTCATGGAAACAGAAGCAATTCTTTCTTCTGTCATTATCTGACTTAGACTGTGGAATCAAGCAAATCCAAATATAATGGAATAAGATCTATTTTGAACTTCATTTTCCTGCAAGGCGAAATGAGCAATTTCATTTTTTTATTGCTGGTCCCTTCTTTAGCCTCTACGTGGCAGCAGACCACAGCAATATTCCCTCAAGCATTGATTTTTAAAATCCCTGCTTAGAGGGGGATGAATGGAAGTAGAAAGGAGAAAAGAAGGGGGGCAGGCAGCTTTACCTGCATGCCTGCCAGGTCAAGCAGCACTGAAACTCACCGCAGCTTGATCCTGCCCCTTTCTCACCGGGCAAATGGACAAAGCAAATGAACTTTGTATCCCATGCGGCATTGCAGAGCGGCTGTCTGCATCCCTCTCTACACATCAGCAAAGAGATTTTCCAGGCTAGGGTTAGGCTGCTAAGACTAGACAAAGCACATTCAAGGAAAAAGCCGAGGCAATGATCTTTGCTACAGCTTCTAGGCAGAATAAGCTACTCTTGAGTCATTATCCTGGCTCCCATATCTGTGTACATAAACAGTTCAGAGTTCACTGACTTCAGTGTTGTACAGGAGGCAAGCCCTCTTATGCTTCCCATTTTACACGCAGCAAGCTGAAATTTTCCCTGTGACCATCAGGTAAATGTGGAAAATCAAGCACACCTAAGAATACAAGCCTACACTGGTCACAAGGGGGTCAGACACATCCCCCTCTGGATTTGTCACATTCTGATTTCAGTCCTTTTGCATTTGCTATTGTACCACATGCGAAAACACTGTGCAGAGATTTACTGTTGTTTCTATTGCAGCCAATGAGGACCCAATATTCATTTCGGTATCTACTTCAAACCACCATCGCTTTTCAAGCCCTGTTTAGCACTTATCACGCTGCCACTTGAAGCAGATGACAGAACTGTGCCCCTTTTCAACAAGAACCCCCTTCTCCGCAGCTTCCACCATCTCTTGCCCTCTGTTTCCAAGTTCAAACTTAAATTTCACCTCCCTTCCACTTACAATTTTAACTACATAATAGGATTGCTTAATTCTGCAGCTTTTTTGCAAATGAAGAAGCTACACAAAGAATGCAGGCAGAAATGATAACAGGAAAATCAGTGCTACCACACTGGTGAAATTGGGCTTTATGTAAAAGCATTTCCCCACCTTAAGTAAACTTGAGTCTGCCAACATAAGGACCTTAATTCTTTATTGGCCTACACCTGTTTTGATCTCGAGCACTCACTCAAAATGAGTGTAAAAAAAATATTCAAATTCAGCAGTTTCTCACGCTTGCTTTCTAAATGACTGCCCAAAATGCAAAACAGGGGAGAATGGAGCTCTTATCTAAAGTCTTTAATAGTTCACTACTGACTTGTTTCAGTTAAGCAGATGAAAAAGAGTGAACATGAAGATATTCCATATTTGCAAAACGCTGTTTTTCAATGGATACCCAGAAAACTATCAGATGTCTTTAAAACAGCTTTTCCAGTCTATAAAACATAATCATGAGTTTTAGTTTCCAGCTGTTGTGTTTGTGGTGCAAAAAGAAACATAATAAAAGTATTTCTGTGCCTCCCCCTATTTTAGTGAAATATCACATTTGGAAGATTAAATCTCTGGTTCATTCTCTATTTATTTCCCTGTATAGTTTATGCTATAGATAAGAACCAGTTTCAGAGTTCATTAGTGAGTAATTGACATTTTTATTATTATTGCCTTCTACACCCTTGAAGGAGTCTCTGAAACAAGAGACATCAGACACAGACCAGAATAATGTCTCCAATGTGTTTTCTTTTCTGAAAGGACTTTAGATTATGGGTACGACTGAAACGCTCCGATTGGCTGCCAATGATGTCATGACTGTGCTTATAATACCCAGTAAATGCAGAAGGCTAATTGTGTTCCTTTTTAATGTGTAAATTCTATTCCATAATAGCAATAAGACACAACAGACAATGCACTTCAAGGGGATTACTGTCCTTTTGAGTGATTAAAGCTATTCAGTTTTCAGCTTTAGAAACAGTGGTGAGGAAGTAATTTCAGTCATATAGGAGCTCTAGGCCCATCTATTGAAACAGGCTGACTGCCTGGAGGAAGAGGAAGCCAGTTTCCCCCATGAACACCCCTAAATTGGGTCCAGCAAGGCAGCACTTGTAGAGACTGAAGCCAATCATTATACTGCTCTAAATTAATAGAAAATGAAACGTAGGGTTTTGAAGCACACTCTCCTGTTGGTTTCTAAACCCTGCATGGGTGAGGCTCGAGTGTCCCTTCACAAAGAAAGAAAACAGGTGACACCTCACTCTCTTATTTCTGGCCCCCACTACAGTTCTCTCATACTGTTATAATCACAGTCCTGGCAAAGGATAGGTCAGTACACAAGGAACTAGACTTCAATCCAGGAAATATGGGCTAGTTAGTCCAAGACTGAGAAATGACCATAGGTGAGTCGATAAATCCACCTTATGCCATACATTCCCTAGCAGTAGGAAAAGGATAACACCATTCTACCTTTGGGGCAACACTAGTGTGCCCCAGTATAATAGGGATGTAAGGCATTAAAATTCTGCCTCGTGATATTTAAAGGAATATTATTTTTTTTTTAAATTTAATGTCCTGGTGCTATCAGATTTAACATATACAGCCTCACTTCATATCACAAGCTGGTCTCTTCCCAACCTGACTGAAATTCGAGTCCAGTCTCACGGAACAGAAAGGCTGACTTACCAGAGGAAGTAGCACTGTGACTAATAAGAAACATGCTGAGATCTTTCTGCCCAGTTCCATACCCCAGTAAAACTGCTTCTGTCATTTATTTTCTCCAGTTTGGAGAACAGCCCTTATGAGGAGCGATTGAGGGAGCTGGGTCTGTTTAGTTTGACGAAGAGGAGGCTGAGGGGGGATCTCATCATGCTCTACAATTACTTGAAAGGACATTGTAGAGAGGTTGGTGCTGGTCTCTTCTCACAGGTAATTAGGGACAGAACCAGGGGGAATGGTTTCAAGTTGCAAAAGGGCAAGTTGAGGCTGGACATTAGGAAGAAATTCTTCACGGAAAGA